AGTGGTCAGGCAGCTGGACTACGTGATCCTCATAGGTCCCATCCAACTTTTCTTTTCTTTTCTTTTCTTTTCTTTTCTTTTCTTTTCTTTTCTTTTCTTTTCTTTTCTTTTCTTTTCTTTTCTTTTCTTTTCTTTTCTTTTCTTTTCTTCAATTTCCCAGTTTTTCAGCTTGCTTCTGGAAGCTGTAGTCAGTGGGGTAATATAAGATATAATATTTCCTGCAGTGGCAAGTGTGAATTTACAAATGAGACTGTTTTACTCTCCAGTATCAAAATATCCCCAATACCACACCATGTGGAGTTACAGCTGACTCAGCTCCAGGTGTTGTGAAGGCACCATTGGAAAGTACAGTTTACCTTGAGAGACATTGCTATGCTTTATGAAGCCTCCTTTGTTTCTTGCAGCTCTAAAAATGCTGTTTTGTAAATACATTGTTACATGCCTACAAACACGCACATACATGGGCATTACAGGACTGTAATAGTGCTCTTTTAATCATTATTGCTAATAATAATATGAAGTGCATCATCATGCAGAGAAATGAGGTTTCTTTTCTTAGAGATGAAAACATCTTCACGTTGGATCCAGTTTTATTTCTTATTCTCCCTTTTCATAAAAGAAGAAGAAAAAAACACCCCAAAACGAAGCATTATGTAGTTATCAATATCCATAGGGTTGTAATGGATTACTCTTTGCTCTGTGATATATATGCAAGACAAAAACCCAACAAAGATTGTTATTAGTAGGATTTTTTTTTGGTCTTAACTCAGCTAGGACATCTCCACAAGACTTTCTGGTCCACTCAATAGAATTGTGTTTCTCGTCCTTCATTAGCTGATGTATGCATCCTGTTGGTTTCGTCTTACCTTTGTAACAAACAGACGTAGTTTATACACAGTTTGTTAACATTTTCTTAACGCTTAAAGGAAAGGGGTTAATATCACTTACAGCGATACATTTATATAATCAGTATTTCAAAATAATTAAATACAGGGCTTAAGCTTTGGTTATTAGATGCTATGAATATTCTCTAATACTTTAGAAGGCTATTTTCCTTCAGTGTTGCTTATATTCTGGTTCAATCATAACATTTTACTATTCACCATACTTTCTTCCAAGTTTCATATATATGTGCTTAACCTGCAGTGCTCTAAACCTTTAAATGCTTAAGAACTGGTAGCACTTGTTTGGTTTTCTCTCTGTTTCACACCTCTTTTACCTTCTTCACAGTCTAAGATTCTTTCTGTTATTTGTATGTGCTGCACTTACATGTTTGCTTGAAAAAACACTAGTGATACTAATAATTACATTACTAGGTCTAGACATGTTATGCTGTTATATTTTTGCAGTTTTTCAAAACTTATTTCTGATTGACAAAATCACTTAACTCTTAATAATTGGTTACATTCACCCCTTACTTAAGTCTGAAGTGTTTATTTTTCAATTACTCCTTTTACGTTTACTGTCATACTGTCAATATTGTTTTTACGTTACTGTCTTCCCTAATTTGAGACTTCTGCTACATCTCTGGACATCTCTAGTCATTCTGTGTTTACAGCAGGTGCTGGCTATTTATGCTACAGGCTTTTTTCGTGCTTTGTAACTGAGCTTTCATGCCTACTATAACATCACAATTTTGTGATTAACCTTTACAGCAAGACAGCATGGATTAGTAATCACTCTACTCACAGTTCATCTGATTTCTCCTGTTTGAATATTCAGCTTCTCTATTTTTGCTTGCTAGACGTTTAAGTACCTCATTTTCTTTTTACATTCTCTCGGTCAGTAGTAGACCATCCTAATTGCATCAGGTACAGCCTGGATGTGATATTCTAAGTTTTGCATTATACTGATGGATGTGTTAGCATCCATCAGGATACTGGGGCTCATTATTTCCCAAACAGCTTTAATATTACAAATTTACTGTAGTTCTTTTTTGCTTTGCTACCCGCTTCTGCTACTTCCAAAGGTCTTGGGGAGTCACATTGGCAATATGAATACTAATACACACTGTTCACAGTCTTGCACATCTAGGTTCTTTGGGATGATCTTACTGCTTCTTTATATTTTGCAGTCTCTTGTTCAGGTCTGGAGATGGTTTTACTCCCAGTAGGCATGCCCAAACACACATGCACATAGAGCCCACCAATGACAGATCAACACAGACAGAAGAGCAGTGCTTTTACAGGCACCACATACACACTAATAGCACTTTAATAACCGTGAACAGTATGAACAGCCTGGTCCTGCTTTTCCTTGCCAGCGAGCCAGTGTGAAAGCTTGATGGTAGATTTTATACTCAGACACACTCACAAGGATATCTCTTGTGTTTTTGTATTCTTCAGCTCCAATCCTTCAAGCAAGATGCCAGATGCCATGTAGCATCTGCATATGTTCACTGAGCACCTCAACACAACCATTAGTCTTAACCAGCCATGTAACAATCCCAGCTGGCTGCTTAAAAATGCTGTGGTGCTCTACATCCACTTGTGCTATGGAACATGCTGCATTACTAAATAACTGCATTAACAGTTGTTATGGTCCCAGATGATCCAGGTATGGTCAGGCTCGCCTTTCTCCTTTAGGCACATTCTGCTTTTCCCCCGCCAAAATAGCAACTCTCACAGTGACACTGGGCTCCCCCACAAATAATCACTCTTAATACATATGGGAAGAGGAACATTTATTATCGTGTATATGCTACTTTGGCCTCTTTAGGCAAAAAGGCAGTATGCCATTCAGGGTCTATATTCTGTTTGGTCACATGGGCCATCTCTCCTTTTGCTTACTTAAGGCATCTTGATATCAGCTAGCTCAAGCCTCAAAAGTGGAAGCTCTCAGATGAGTCCCCAGTTACCTCATGAGTAACTCTTCCCTCTTTAGATTGTAGGCATGAAATGTAACACACTTAAGAGACTAGTGTTTGTTGGTTCAGCAAAAAACTACTAAAAACCTAATAATTCAATGATCAATTGTATTGGGTTTTCTGTGAGGGGATTTTGGTTGTGTCTTTGCTGATGGGGGAAGGGCTACGGAGATAGCCTTTTAAGAAGCTACCCGAAAAGCTTGCCCTTTTCCTTTGTCAGACCCACTTCTGACTAGGGCCAAGACAACCAGCGCCCCTGAGAATTCATGAATTTAAGGGGGTGCAGGGCATGTGCTCTCGCTCTCTCTGGCACCGGCCCCGATCAGCGCGGCCCCAGGTCTGGGTGGCGTGGCCCTGGTCCTGCCCCAACTTAAGCTTAAGCCCCACTGCAACTCCAGCCTGAGAAAAGAGAGAGCTGGGAACTCTTCAGAACCATCAGAAGAGACCTGCCACAACATCAGTAATTAATGAACATGTCATTATTAAATTGTACTTGATTATGCACAGTGACAAAGCTACTGATTATTACTTTTCAATCTCACAAATCACATGCAGCTACTATTGAATCTATCACCCTTCCCTCCCCATACCACTTAGAGCTAGGGTATAACTCTATCCCTCTTTACTTTGTCCTACACCACACGACATCCTTGCTCTTGAATTGTTTTAATCATCCTCCTGGTTTCCTAGTGAGCCTGTAGCTAGTTATGAGGACTGGTGTTCTAGTCATTAAAATTGCTAACAACTTCGTTCATGTCTGAAGATGGTCTTTGTACTCTCTTTGTGTTAATTATTTTTCTCCCTTGGCATCCTTGAAGGGAGGAAGTTACCTTTATTTTGTGTACATGGAACTGTGGCAGGAAAAGAGCAAGCACTAGTATTGGATCACAAAGAAAATCTGTATTGAAGCCATGAATTGTACTGATGTTCCCAACTCCCAGATCCATTCTTTACTCATGAGATCATGCTTCAGCAATAGTAATCTGTGCTGTATTGCTTCCTCCCACCAAATTGAGTATGTTTGTATTTATAACTCTATAGTAAATGTGCCAGTTAGTTAAAGTGCCTGTTTTTGCCCATACGGATCTAATTTGCATTAGGAAGATAAATGGGAAGTTCAAGTACTCAGGAAGCTTGATACTAGTTGAGATGCACTACATATTGCATTTCTTTTCCCTCCTTGCTAAATTCTTTTTCTGAGGTTGTATCTTCAGATCTTTGAATTCAGAACTTAATGTAGAGAGTTCACTGGTTTCCAGATAGTGGTCTGAGTCTCAAAGAGGTGTTAATTGGGTGATGGATGCACAAAAATCAAGAACACAACTCAACAGTTAAATCAAATTAAAGAAAGACTCCAACAGATTACAGCTGACTTTGGATCAAACCCTGTGGGGCATTAGGAGGTAATACACATTGCAACAAATCTGAAGACTCTGTTTCCCTGATTTTCCTGTTCACAGAGGTACCAAATGAGTTTTCTTTTCCTAATATAGTTGTGTTCTGCCAAACTGCAACTTTCATTAAAAATGTCAGAACTATTAGTGATGTCTGAACTGTTATTGAGAATATTTAATGTTAAAGAGAACAGTGACTTATTCTTAGCAGAAAACACATGTGTACCTCAGCAGTATTTAAAACATTTCTGGAGATTAACCATGAAGACATTTGTTTAAAAACCCTCTACCAAGATGGTTTTGGAAGTCAGTGAAACAGGTAATAAGATTCCATATGGAGACCAGAAGTTCACCAGTCAACCAATGAATTTTCTTTCCCATTCTGCTATTATTTTGGAGAGTACCTTAATTTTCCTATACTCCAAAGAAGGCATTTCCTTCCCTCTACCAATATAGACTGGTACATAGCTGTTCAGAAACAAGGTGATTGCCTTGTGAAGGGTGGTAAAAACAGAAATTTGGAGACCTAGTTATATTAACTTGTCCAGCTTTCACAAGGAACCCTAATATGAAGGTGAAATAAATTTTGAGGGCAGAGATTGAGTGGGAAAGTAGAATGGTTGACTTTTATTGCTGCTTAAGGCTGAGACATAAACACATCTGTTAAATCATGAAAGGCAATGTTATACACAGTTTTGAAATCTTCAGTAATAAATAAGCACTGTGGTTTATGCTTTCAGAATATGAAATTGAGAGATCATTTTTCCTGAGAATGAAGTGTGTTCTAGCCAAGAGGAATGCAGGATTGACGTGCAGTGGCTACAAGGTAATGTATATAAGCTTTTTCCCCAATCCCCAAGTATTCAGCAAGTGACAAGTTTATTTATTTTGATTTCTTTATATATGTGTAGCTGAAAGCAAAGTCTGTGATGAAAAGAATCAGAAGAGATGCAAAAAATGCCACTGCTGATTGCAGGTTCCCTTAGTAATGCAAGTCTAGACTCTCACAATGAGTTGGAGTTTGCTTTGTGGTACATTCCCACTTCCTGATCCTCCAGGCTGAGGAACTGGCTGGAGCACAGGAGAGATGCAAGGAGGGTGCACAGTCAGGTCTTATTCCCCTATGGAACCGGAGACAAGTGAGGCAGGAACCCAGACACAGGAACTTGGAAGTCTTCCCACATCCCTCTGTCTCACTGTTGCAGTGCTCTGACTGAGTGACCATTGAGTTGCACAAGTCACCTCATTGGCCTGACCAGAATTACTTTAACATTAAAGAGACTGCCGGGGTTGAAGTCTACTAAACCACCAAGGTTCTTTTTATAAATCTTATCGCTTGTATTAATTTTCAAGTCATTACACGAAATCAGAAGCCCGCAGCAAATGTTGGGATTCTGTGATACCATCTGCCATTCAGGTAGTTCGTATTTCAGCTTTGCAGTGTGCATTTGCTGTTCTTTGAGCTATACAGTATAATTCTGTCACTTAAGCATCAAGAGAGAAGGGTACTTCACATACAGTCTGGTGAAGATTCATTTTATTTGAGTCATTCAAAAGCAAAATGAAAAGCACGCAAGTGAAGCAGAGCGCTTTTAAGGAATATGTTCAAGGTCCAGATATATATCTGTCTATTTACACTGCTATCTACCTGGTTAGTCTCCTAATTCTTCTTTACACAGATCTCTGTTTGCTCAGCTGCTCCCCAGCAAAAAATGATTCTGTCCCAAAGCTGAATCTGAAATCAGGTAGAAGAGTAGAGCTTGTAGTGGTGGTATCTCTGTATGTGTTTTATTTCCCCCATTTATGACTGCTAATCAGGGGGCTCACCTTCTTTCTTCTTTTGCTCACTATTAAAAGTTTATGCAGTGAAACATTTAAGGATGTATTCATTTAGAGAAATGTTGGTTTAAATTTATTCTCTCTGACTGTATTAAGTCAGGATTTAATAATTTTTAAAATATCACCTGAATATTGAATAACTGAAGTGCAGGAAAAACTCATGCATCAAATAGCATTGGAATTAGTAGGATCTGCTGAGAGATCTTAAATAAGTTTTGATTGCTACTGTACTTTTGCTAAACATACTAATTGCTTGGTGATTGAAGGAAGAAAGGCTACACAAGAGGAGCCTGTTTATAGCTGACTGTTTAGTAGGTTGTTCAGGAGTACTAAATACAGTGAAAATTAATTCCTTTCCATTTGACACAGTTAAAAGTCAAACAAATACAGAAATTAAGCTGAATAATGTGTAATATGCCTGCTGTTTGGACTAGAAAATTGGCAGAAGCACAAATTATTTCTAAACACTACCACTACATTAAATAAACCTTATGTTCTGAAAGAGTCCCCAGGTAACAATTTCCCCCCCTCCTTAGCTGACATTGTGAATTTTTACAGTTTAACACTGAAGTTGTCACTCTTGTGATTAGGAATTGTATATGAGAATTCAGGAATCTGGTCTCAAGACCCTGGGCTTGGTCACATGTCAAAAGAACATCACTTGAACTTGACCGGAGAACTTAAAACTAATTTCTAGTGTATTAATATATACAGCAGTTAATCTTTATAAATGTGATGCATTAATCTGCACTGGATTTTCCAAGTGTCTGATTTTCATCAGTAAAATAACTCATTAAAATGTAAATGTTTATATACACCTGTGTGTGTTTGTGTGAGAGAGAGAGAAATTTTAAAAAGCTGCTTCCAAATTCTTTGATTAATGAAGAGGCATTCTTACTGTATCTACAATAAATCTGTATCAAAAAGAGTTTAAAGTATTAACTGGAAAGCAGTCTAGATAGTCCCAAAGAGCATGTGCTTTAACACTGGATTAATCATGTTGGAAGTAAACACAATAACTGCATTTATGGTATTTTAATCTCCATTTATAAATTAACCACACTTCTGAAGGTTTAACAGACTATGCAGTATTTGAGCATTATAAGGGTGTATTGCTCTATAACCTGCCCATGTGGGCAGCTGACTTGCAGCCTATTCCAATGCCTTCAGATATTGAATGTGTTTTCTTCTCATGCCAGGTCATCCACTGCAGTGGCTATTTGAAGATCCGTCAGTATATGCTAGATATGTCTCTGTATGATTCCTGTTACCAAATCGTTGGACTGGTGGCTGTAGGTCAATCTTTACCTCCCAGTGCAATCACTGAGATCAAACTTCACAGTAACATGTTTATGTTCAGAGCAAGTTTGGACTTAAAATTAATATTCCTAGATTCCAGGTAAGCAGCTATTTCATTTCTGGCATAAAATGTTTTCAAAGTCAAATGTTATCATAAGCTACAGTGGTTTCCAAAGAAATCAGTGTATCTGTGAAAAAATAAAGCAGATCAAAATAGACCTGAAACACAAAGACCATGTGGGTCTTCAAAGCCCTTCAGGTAGCTGGATAGACCATACTTTGTCTTGAATGCCAACATACAAGCGCCTGTACAATTTAGCCTATTTAGGTTGGCTGTAGTTATCTACAGCTTCAGATTCAGCTAAAGCCTTCTTGCTGTGACTAATAGGCAGATGAGCAGCAATACATTTTTACCTTAAAGGACATACATTTTAGCATACAAAGCTAGTGAAAGGAATAAGAATGTACTGTCATTCATTATTAAAAAAACAAAACAACAGAAACACTGAGGTCAAATGACTTGCTGGGGTCATCCAGAAAGCTTTTAACAGAGTAGTAAGAAAATGCAGTGTTCTGCACTTTAGTTTAATGCCTTAACAATGAAACCAATGCTACTAGTGGTGGTGTTAGAATGAAAATGAATTCAATTGGCTACTACATGAAAACACAGCCTTCTCAAATAAAACTTGGGGACACAGCTAATGCTGAGGAAAGAGAACCCTGCCTCCACTCTCAGCCAATACAGCTCATATACCAGCTGAGAAGAGCACAAAACTAGAACTGAATGAGTTGTGAAACAATTAATTCCTCTTTTTCATTAAACGTGGTATCTTTTAGGATATCATTATACTTTGTACAGTGCAGTGCAGGATACCTTGAGGGGAAAAGCTCAGTTCCCAGGTGATATAACAGATTTGACTATCGACAAGATGATCATTCTTCAATAATCCCTGCATGTGGAGCAGTATGTCACATATTCTCTCATTTCCCTGGCATGCTGGATTTGCAAGAAGCAGAAATTATATTCATGTGTAGCAGAGGAAAAGAGTCTGTACCCACGACAGAGGGGAAGTTTTGCATGGCTGGTCAACCATGCAAGAACATGCTCTTTCTCCATATTAAGTCAATGAGACAGAGGGCCATCAGCTGCTAAAATACAAAGGCCTAGTTGTTTCTGAAATCCTTCCTTTTTTTTTTTTCCGCATGCTTTACTTAATGTAGCAGCTACAAAGACGCATAAGGGGTTCAGTAACATGTCTTTGCATGTGGGAAAAAGGAAATGATGTGCCTGAGAGGAACTGCCTGGAGACATAAGTGTCTTTAAAGGACACAGTATAACCAGAGGTGTTGACAGGAGCATAGATAGAACCAGTACTGTAGCATAGCTGTGTTTACCAAAGAGCAGACGGGTGTCGTCCACACACAGGACAATCAGGGGTATTAAGCATTCCCAAAGCCCTTTGCTCTCCCAGCTGAGCAAACCAAATTCTATTTGCTCAGAGGAGAGACATATTAGGAATAAGACAAAACTGTTTTCAGACTTGCTTCTGGTCTCCATACAAGGAAAAGCGTTGCTAGATCTCTAGAGGTAATGGTCACAGCAAAGGGGCCAGTATTAAAGTCATAGGAAGGAGCAGTTAAACAAGCCTTTCTAGACACTTGATACAATGCAAAACATGCACGAGTTCATTTATCAAGGTCATTGGATAAAGGAGACAGTTACTTCCCTCCAGGTGATCTGCTGCATCTGATTTTGGGGGTGCAGCCTATTCATCCATTGCTACATGGTTTACAATGGCTTTAGAGAACTCTAGAGGGCAGGACTGACCATTTGAGCAAGCTCCGTTTCCTTCTGTGTCCTCTGTCACACACATAGACCAATCTTCAGCGCCCAGGCTCCTTGTAGTGGCTTACTGAGGGGTTGGGTTTGTGTTAAGGAGTTCAAGCAGCTGAGTTTATTTTCAGATTCAAACTTTTCAAAACTTTTCAAAAGTCTGTGTGTCCTTGTAACAGTTAATGATGTTTTTTTGGCCCATGGGAAGACCAGCTTCAAAGTTGGGGTGCACCTCCAGAAAAATTAACACCTGGCTTAGGTTTGTGGCATTTTGTTTGGTTTGTTGGGTTTTTTTATTAGCTGTTTCTGTACTCAGCAATTAAGTGAGCAGGATGAAACTGTCACCCTAGTTTTAGTTGCACTCAAGTCAGAAGGAGTACTGAAACCTGAACAGGATCTTTCACCAGGATTTCACCATGCTCATAGATTTCAGTGAGAATTTGGGCCCCTAGAACTGTAAGCCAGGAGAGGCAACACACACCGCAGAGGAGAAATGCAAGCATATATTCACATATCCTCCTACAGAAAGAGACCACATGCTCACTCCACAGTGGGAGACCCTGACTGAGGCAAAGGCGTGCAAGAGTTTCCAAATCAAAAGCATAGCTAGAGGAGGTATGAATGTATTGGTACTGTATTTATAATAAATCAGATCACAAAGGCTTTTTGTTTGTTTGTTTTTTCTGATTTCCTTCAGAAGAATCACACCCCATGATGTGCTCCCTTAAGCAGCACGTAAAGTCCCCAGTCTCTGTGGGGTCCGCATGGTTGCTTAGTGTTAGGGTAAGAGTAAAGAAGATGCATAATAGTTACAAAAGGCAAAAAAAAATTAAGCAAAGTTTACACTGTCTGCAACCACCAATAACAGGTTGCTTGAGACCCCTGTATTCATTTCTATAGATACTAAATTTTCTGATACAGTGTATCCTTACTAGTGTTTAAGTTCAGCCTTTTGAAGTGAATGTCCTGGCTGTCCCCACTCATTGCACTGCAGTTTATGTCATGTAGAGGCCTTAGCCATGTGAACTGTATTCCTTGTGGATGAATCTAAACTAGAAGACAACCTTCAAGAGCTTGTCTAAGGCATTCCAGCTATTATAAAGCTTTCAGTCCACAAGCCTAGGCTAGAGCTAGTCCCAAGTAAAATTCCTGAAATTAAAACATGCAGATGGGTCTGCTGCTGCAGCAGTAGATCCTCGGCAGTAACAATTTTATTCTGCAGGTTGCCTGCTAATGGACTGTATTGCTTGTTAATGTAGACATGCCTTTGTGTGGTACCTCTGTTCTGCCTTTTTTCAAGCGGAGAAAACTTAGAACAGCACAGAACACCCCCAGCAAGAGTAGGTACACAAGGCGCATTTATGGCTGAGTTGCACATTGTACTTTAAGGATTTTTGTTCTCAAACAACAGTCCTAAATAAACAGAAGTCCATTTTGAATCACAAAGTTTCACTCTTCAGGTCTGACCCAGTGTAAGTGTGACCAGCGTGGCTTGGATCTTAAACACCTGCAGAGATGCTGCTGTTTCAAATCTGTTCCGTTATTCTACTTCCCATCATGTTGAGGATGTTTTTCTGAAGTCTAACTTCAGCTTTCATTTTCTTAGCTTGTGATCTCCGTAGCTCCTTGTCTTTCCACATTCTTAGCTGGAATAAGCTCCTGCTTCCTTCTTCTGTTAGGCATTAGCCTGAATTTATTTATAGACCACGATCACAGCTTCTATGGACTGACATACATCCTGCATTTGTATGCTTGCAAAAGCAAATTAAAATGTGTCGGCAGTCCACAAGAGTAGTTTTATTGATTTGTGTATGGCTCCTCAACTGGATCTTTGTGCAAAGGATCTTGCATAGCAGTGGCACAAGCCCTAAGTGGAAATAAGTAAAATAACCCTTTTTCCTGCCTGAGTGTAAGGCTGGCCAGGGAATAGCTGCACCTTGGGTTGAGGGGGTTTATTTTCTTATAACGATGAGGATTCTCTTTCCAAAACTGACATTTTGTCCTGCAGTTATTAGGCACCTTATAGGTTGGCACAATCAAGTACTAGGTTAATGAAACTGAATATCCATAGAGATTTTGCTTATTATGGAATCTTCATTTTCCAGGGTGACTGAATTAACTGGATACGAGCCCCAAGATCTGATAGAAAAAACCCTCTACCACCATGTTCATGGCTGTGATGTGTTCCATTTACGATACGCTCATCATTTGTGTAAGTATAAAGAATGCTGGACTGAAGTTTATTAAGTAGAGTGAGAAGTTTTGCAGACAACAGGTGCTATGCTGGAAAGCAGAGGAAGCTTTCCAAATCTTTACTGGAGCTAGATTTTCACAAGCTCTTGGCTATCACTTAAGAAAACCATTAGTTCTGCAAATAAGCTAGATACTCATCATGTGGTGTTTCTGAATAAGGCATATTGGGCCACTTTTTCTACTTAAAGGATCTAGGCTCTTTTGAAAATTTGGACTTGATTCTAGGTGGTGAACTCTTGAAGGAGAAAAAGAACCAAAAGAGCAAGTGAGTGAGAGGGGAAAATCTGAACTTCAGTAGCCTCTGCTGTTAAAAGGAGCAGCTCCCCATCCTACTGAAATATGTTAGTAATAATCATCCCATGTTTGAAGTGAATGCAAACCCCAAAAAATTCTCAGATGAATGTTCATTAATAGCATGTGGATGAGGTTTGGAGAATGGAGTGTCAGGAAAAAAAATTACACATTTAGTAATTCCCCATCTGCCAACAGAGACACTAATCATATCTTCAAACATCTGGATTTGGGAAGTAGTTCATTCAGTAGCAAATTAATTTGAGAAGCAAATTGAGGGAATAGCTGAACTCTGGGTTTGGCTCAGTCTGCTGCAGCCCATACGATGCAAAGATGACATCCAAAAACCAATGTCAGTGAGTTTTTTTCCAGATTGCTCCTGTGGGCTGAAAGCAGCCAGAGTAAAATCCTTCTCTTAGGCTTCCTGAAGGCATAAACGATCACTTCTTCACCTTAATTTATGTTGTTCTTGAGGATCTGGAATATAAAGGAGCAAGTCAGTGCTGAAATTCCAAGTGCAGAATTATGTTGGTTGCAGTGTGTGCAGAAACTCTTCTTTATTCTGGGCCATTGCAAACTAAGAACTAGAATAACCAGGGTACATGCCAATGTCCTCTTGGAGGCATCCTCTTTGTAGTGTTAACATCTGCATTTGGATGTGACTGTTGATCTGTACAAAATATCACTCACTGTTTTCACAAGACTATTTGAAATGCCTATGCCAGCCAATATAGAGATGATTCTGTTATAGCCACAATCATCTCTGGAAAAGAGTTTTCCATTTTAGAGCAGAGTGATGGATAATACTTTGTGCACAGTAGAAGACTTGTACTTTGCCTGCCAGTTTGATCTATGTATGACTGGAGTTTTAAATAAAGAGACACATGATGTTTACTGAATTAACAACCCACCTACCCCATCCCACAAGCAAACAGAACCAAACAGAATAACTAAAAGCAGTTCTCTAGATATTTGAATTACAATGATAAATTATTGTAAAGTTCAAAACCAGAAGAAAAATCTGAGACATATGCATAGAAATTTATGAAACTTTCAAAGCAAATAAATACCAACAAGCAAAAAATAATGGTTAATGCTTGGGCAACAGTGGGAACAGTGCAGAATCACAGTCAGAATACCAAGTAATAGGAATTATTAAAACAGATGTAAAGTGTACAAACTTCCTCTGGGGAGCACTGTTATAACTCCCCCACCATTCGTCAGTAAATGTCTTAGGAAAATGAACAGTAAAAGGCTGGCAAGTTTGACATACTTCTATAAAGTAATTTGATGATTAAGTGTCATCTGATGAAGAAATCTGGAGAGAAACACCTTACACCTAATAAGAGCATTAAGGAAAAAAAAGAAAAAGAAAAAAAGGGCAGCCCTAAGTTAGGATAACCAATCGCTTTTATCAAAGACAAAAGAAAAAATTCCCAAACTGAAGACCTAAAGCAACTGAACATTAAGTTAGGCAGCACAGTGAACAAAACAAAGGAAATGGTGAGGGGAACAAGCTAGAAGGGCTATAACAAGGACATCAGACTGTGAGGAAAATGTAGATGTGAGTATTTGCCTAAGGTGAGATGCCAGCAAACAGTATTTCCTGTTATAAACATTTGATTAGCTTCCAGCTATATGAAAAAGCTTCTGGCATTTGAACTAGTGTTATTTATTCCTGTAGCACCATCAATATACACAGTGTTTGCTCTGCAAGTGGGGAATTGTGGCCACACAGATAATGAGTCCTTGCCTAAGGATCTTGCATTCTGAAAGACAGGATAAAGAAGCTGCTCCAGTACAGACAAAATATTCTGTTCCAGTATAGACAAAATATTTTGCTGGCCTCAGAGAAATCACTTCATTGGTACCATCTCTCTCTGTGAGCATTTTGTGCATCCCACATGTTGTAATATTGTTGCTCTGCCCACAGAAACTTTTATATTAGTCACATCTTTGTGTCTTGGCAAGGCAGGCCCCAGTCGCAGCTGATGTCATCACCAAACTGTTCAGCCGCTTCCTGGAAGTGAACCTATATATTTATAGAACCCATCTTATAGCAGAGCACAGTTTACACTCTGTCTGTGGTGCTGAGTCTCCTTTTGCTCCCCCAGCAATCAAGCCTTCTGGCACAGCTGCACTAGTTTTTAAGAGGGCAAAAGAACTGTAGAGCCTGCTAGGGCACCATCCACTGACCGCACTGGTGACTTGCCAGGCTGTGTGCATCAGGGAAGCTAAAACTATAACTGCTGTAAGTGAGGAACCAAGCAGCCTGTTTCTCTTAGTGGTATCCTTAAGTGCAGGCTAGGAACTCCCAGCCACATGCCTGCTGGAGACTTTTAAAATAGCCATCTGTGACAGGCCAGAAGGACCAGCCTAGCCAGCCCAGAGCCTTTTTCAGCTTGCCTGCTAAACCAGGAGGGAACCGCAGCAGCGGAACACCCAGTTACAAATGGCACATTTGAGAGCCAGGGCTAAAGCCACTGAATCCTCCCCTTTTTGATTGCAGCGGAGGCCACCAAGAAGCCTGAGCCTGCATAGATTGTCTTGGTAGTGGGTTTACCTCACTCCCATTTCTGAGGTTTCCCAATCAGCATCAAAGAGCCAAATGGAAATTGACCTCATTTACTGTATCGGAAGTGCAGCTACTGTCCCTTAGCCAAGGTCAGACTTTCCCCAGATTGCTAAAAATGCAGCAGACACGGAGTCCTCCTCTGTTCCAGGAGAAATATTGGTTTATCCATATAATTAGAAAGGAAAGCTGACCACTGTAGTCCTCAGTGGTTTTCACATCTTTTAAAATACTGTCTTAGCTGCAGAGCTAAAACAGGGATTTAAAGAAAAACCAGTGAGAGAGGAAGACAAAACTAGTCCCAGAGCACATGGAAGAACTTTGGTACAGCTAATGATTCATTACAGCATTAATTTCTATTTCGGAAGATTGAGTAGCAAGGCATTTTGACCATTAAACTAGCATGAAGACTTAGTTCTGAGAAGCCCAGACCACAATAGAAAATATACCTGTTAGATGGTCTAGGCCGAAATATAAGCCCTGTTTCTTAGAATTGGACCATTTAGATTATAGGACACCAAGAAAGATAGTGATTCCATGGCACATAGCTGATAATTAGCAAATCTTTTCATAACATACTTATTTGGCATTGTTACACTGAATCTTTGAGCAGCAGCTACAAGACCTTTACCTTGCAGTATATTGTGCTTAAAGCCTACATATGCTTTTATATTTTGTAGGTGCGTTTGCATACTTACACGCATATTCCTTATGAAATCATAATCTTAAATATCTGTACATATGCATACCTTCACCCCACAGAGCAGTCTATGTAGAAATGTAGGCATGAAAAAGGACACCAGGAAGTATGAGGGAAAAAGCTGATATCTAAGAGAAACTTCAAACTCTAACTAGTAGTTCCTTGGTGTCAGAAAGGATGGGGTTTTGAATGTCTTGCAAGACGTTGCTGTTCATCTTGCTGTTTTCTGAACAAATGGATACCATATCCTGTAATGGAAGGAGAACTGACACTTCCAGAAAGACCTGTCTGTAGTCACTCTGTAAGAGCTTGATTTTCTTAGGGAGTTCAACTGGATTTGAAGAAAAGTTTGAACAAGTTGTGATGTGCGCAGGTGGATAGGAGAGTAAGCAGTCCAGAGAGATCACCTATAGGCTACAGACTTAGAGGACCTATTAGCAAGAACAAGAACTCTGATTACTATTGAAATTACAAACCCCTACTCCTCCAAGTAAAAACTGAATTAAAAAAGCCAACCCCAGCCAACTATATGACATACAGTTAATTACAAAACAGTAAACAACTCCCCAAGGATTATGCACTTTCATTCCCAATTTAATACTGGATTCTATGAATACTGATTATAAGGCCATACATTTTCAATTCAGGTGGTCATTTGCTCCACTAGGCTTGGTTGAAAGAGAAAGTGCTGTTGTTCAGTTTCCTTATTATGTATCTGCTCCAAGCATCTACAATGAGAGAACAAAATTACAGTGAGCTTTGCTACAAAGTTCAGTGTAGTACAAGCCCTACACTAGCAAGCAATAATTGCATTTCTTAATCATGTGTTATATAAAGGAACCGCTGCTATTGATCACTGGTTTTGGACGTAGTTTGTGTAGCAAGCTTAGACCCTTATTTCCTAATTTAAAATAAAGAAATGATTGTATAGGAGAATAATGAGATGAAGTTTCCTAGAGGAATGCTCCCATGTCACATGAGAGAAGAACCACCTTCTGGTGAATCATTAGATAAATGTCTGGCACTGAACTAGAAATATTTGTGGCTAGATTCAATATTGAGAGATGCTGCATAACTCCAACTATAGTATAGCCTTATGCCAAAATATCTTTGTTCACAGAGAATCCAAACTAATGTATAGAGGATTGCATTTCTAGTGAAATCTATTAGATAACTGATTTATCTCCCTGGCCTTGTCTTTATCTGTGTGCTTAAGAACCAAATAGCATTTTAATTTTCCCCTTTTAAATCAACCTTCAAAATGTAGAGCTTATGGAGGAAAAAGCATCATAGCATAAAATACATTGCAAAATACACAATTATCTATTAAGCTATGAATGACGTGGAAAAATTCAAGCTAGTTCTGTCTGCTTCAAAATACTTTTGCTGCCTTGATCTTTTCTTTTTCAGTTATAAGGTTAAAACCAGTAAGTAGGGTTTTTTTGCAGAATGTAAGTGTAACAAAACGGGGTAAACTGGAAAAGAAGGAAGACAAACCTTAATACTTCAGAACATACCAGTTGTAAACAGTTATGTGACCCTGTGAAACTACAGAAAAGGGCAGGACAAATACCTTTGCAGGGCAGCTGTTTAAAGTTTGGTGGAAGAGGGAGGTTTAAGGGAGGGGGAGAAAGAGAAAAGTCCCTGTCTTCATATGAACCCCTCCAGGAAGTGGTCACAGTCAAAGCAATGTGAAATGCTTTTTTGTACTGTATTCACAGTGCTGGTGAAAGGCCAAGTCACAACCAAGTACTATCGACTGCTGTCCAAGCACGGAGGCTGGGTTTGGGTGCAGAGCTACGCTACCATTGTGCATAACAGCCGTTCATCACGGCCTCACTGCATAGTGAGTGTCAATTATGTCCTTACGTAAGTCAAAATACTTTGTACCATTACGTGTTATTAGTAATTGATTCATTTTGTGAGTTATTGGCAATTGATTAATTACTAATTAAATCCTTTAAGTTTGCATTACTTGTGTCTTTCAGTATCATTCTGTGCTTGCATGTTACAGCCACTTTTCTCTCCTCATATTCTCCATCTTTTAGTTAGATTGGGCTAAAAAGAGCCGGCGTTCCTGATGGTTACCTCGTACACCATATACTTGAATGTAATACCACTTGTAGCCATTTGTGTTAGACCTGGACCCCAGTTCTGTAACTGGCATCAGAACTGAGCTCGTGTTGTCCAGTCACAGTGGAAGCAGAGGTCACAGCGTCAATTTGGGAGACAAAGACATGGAAGAAAGAGTTACCCCTTTCAGGGACAAGTGAATCACCAAGGATTCCCTCTCACTTGCCTTGGGTTGCACAGGTACTCAGGGCAAAACTACGTTCTCAAGATGGCAAGTAGCTCCCACTGAGCTGGTGAACGTGCGGTGGTTTGGCCCTGCTTCAAGTCATGAAGGTGTTACAGAATGCCTGTCTTGATATAAACCTGACAGAGGAAGAAGTCTATGTTGAATAAAAAATATCAGTTATCGTTAAACAAACTGTGCCTGACAAGGCTACCTGCGGGGAAAAAGGGAAAAAAAGGGATAGTGAGCACCCCTTGTGTTGAATAGTGTAAAAAGGCAGGGAACTATACACTCTTTTCTTTTGTCCAGACTGGTCCATTTCTTCTCTGGCTTGAAAGTAAGATACATGTGCATGATGTGTGTGGTAGGATCATGTCTGTTTGCATATTACAATGTTGTCCCTGATACCTGACTTTGGGGTGTTAAAGTGTATGAGTTGAGAAAGCACAGAGTGATTTCTTAAACCACCTGAAGTAGGTACTCAGCCCTAGACACACTGGCTAATGCTGCCCTCATTCCTGTATAGATGTGAGACGAAGCAGCATGAAGGAAAGACTCAGCCCTGCAACCTGCTTGAGTCCCATGAGCTAGGGCAAGTGATTTGAGTACAATGGAGGAAACTGTGCTAGGGATATAACAGCATGTTCTTTAGTTGAATTTACTGCCAGGTTATTCACCATCAAAAAGTGATGGAAATTAGTTCAAGATAGGAATTGAGAGAGAATTAGGTGGTTTTTTAGTTATCTTCTAAAAAATATGCTTCACTGTTGCTACTGACAAAACCAGGGGAGGCTATTTAATCATCAGATCTGTATCAATTAATGTTTCAAAATATGGTTCACAGTCTGTTCTTGATTTGTTATTTTAGCCTCCTTTGCATGAAAATCTGTCCTGTCTGTGTGGAAGATAAAACTAAACAGAACAGAGCAGAAATGAAAGTCTAGAGACTGTCAGAAAAACAACATTGCAGCTCCTGTGGTCTAGTTACAAGCACGTTGTGCTGACAGGAGAGGATCATTGCTCCTTTTCCTTTCCTCCGGGCTAATTGTGAGAGCCAGAGCAGAGATCAATTTCTGACTGAGAAGGAGGCAGATTAATTGATTTGTGTCTTTCTATCAGCTGTGATTCCAAACTGCAGGGTGCCAGGGAGGGCTGAGAAGAAGTTGGCACAGCTTAGGTTCAGAGAGTGGGCACATTTAGTACAAAGATGTTAATGAGGTTCCCGGTGGAAAATTTGTGATAGACTTGCATGGGGATGGGCTCACACCCTAAAATTTACTGCCTGCTGTCATCCCCAGCCCTGCACTGCAGATGCAGTGAAAAATCTTGGAAGAATGAAAATGAAAACATTATGAAAGCAAGCATGTCTTTTCAAAGGGGCCATTTTGGATTTGTGTGGTGTGTTTGAGTATGTAATTTATTGGACCGTTCTTTTACAGAGATATTGAGTATAAGGAACTTCAATTGTCACTGGACCAGGTTACCATTTCTAAATCACAGTTTTCATGCCGAAACTCAGTATCTACCTCGCAGGAAACAAGGAAAATAGTAAAACCAAAAAGTAATAAAATGAAGGCAAAACTCAGAACAACGCCTTATCCACAACAGGTAACTTTTTTACCAGTATTTACTTAGCAATTGTTGTTGTAGAGTACTTGGGACAGGATAGAGATCATCCAGAGCTGTAGTTAATGTAAAACGGCCTGTAGTGTGCTCTGCCTCAGGAACTCCCTTGTAGGCCAGAATACAATGAGATCCTTTTGTTCTTGGGGTGGACAGCACAAGCAGTACAGACCGACTGGTGAGTTATGCATACACAACAGCAGTGAGTGCAGCTAGCAAATATACTGTGTTCAAAACAGTGAGAGCCCAAAAAGCATTTAGAGTCTGGAGAGAAGGGTGGGAGAGAGTGGGAAGAAAAAAAATCATTGGGATAGAAGCTGGTGCAAAGGACAGATTTTGTGTTCCTACCATTCTAGAGCTTGACATGCCAACATATGCAAAATCATATATGTGGTCTGCTACTCCATTTATCAGAGACTTTTGGTGCATTGCAATAAACTTCTGCCCTCTGGCATTTACAGCTGCCTATACTAACTAGCTAAAATCCAACTGGCAAAATTATCAAATAAACCCTTGACATTAAGATGAAAAAATAGTTTTTTGTTCCCATCTTAAGTGAAGGAAAAGTTACCATAAAGATCAGGAACTTTAAATGCACTGGTAAACCAATCTCTTTAGCCAGTGAGACTGCAGTTCAAGGAGGCCCAGCTTTGGGCGCCTGTATGATATGTTACGCAGTTTCATATAAAAGTTACTCATTTAACTCTCTTCCCTTCTTTTTTTTTTTATTTTCCTCCAGCAATACAGCTCATTCCAAACAGACAAACTGGAATGCAGCCAGGTGGGAAACTGGCGATCCAGCCCTGCAGTGAATGCTGCCACCATTCAAGAACAAAACTTCCATTCAGAAAACAGTGAACTTTTATATGCCCCATCATATAGCTTGCCTTTCTCTTACCATTATGGACACTTCCCTGTAGATTCTCATGTCTTCAGTAGCAAAAAGCAAATGCTGCCGTCAAAGTTTGGGCAGTCTCAAGGAGCACCTTGTGAAGTGGCTCGATTTTTCCTGAGTACGCTGCAGACAAATGGAGAATGCCAGTGGCATTATGCCAACTCCTTGGTACCCAACAGCCAGTCACCATCCAAAAATCTTCCTGATCAGCCAGTGAACATCATCCGGCATAATCTCGCACAGAGTTATGAAGGTGGGTGACACTTTAGGAAAAAAAAAGGACAAAAAAAGAAAAGCAAAGCTGTGGGGTGTCTGGGAAAGTTTTGTAACTGTAGTTTGAAAACAGGATGCTTAGGAAACACAGAAAATCAAAACCAGTGAATTGTAACAACTGCTGTGTTTAGTGTATTCACATGTTCCTCCCTCTTCCCATTACAATAAGCACTTGATTAGGAATATTATCAAAGCATCAGTTGTGAAAGTGCACCGGAATCACTTTTAGAACAGAGCAGAGATACCACCTCCTTTAATAGTGGCACAGTTTACCTTCAGGTTTTGCACTATCAGAGTTATTTAGTGGAATAGTAAAGTAGGTCATTGCTGAAGTTAGAAAGAAACAGATGTACTTCAGTTCACAAACAGAAATTAAAATAAACATGAGTGATTTCCATAAAAAATTAAGGTTGTCCTTTCTGAGTATGAAGCCATTTTGAATGTCCTTACCCTACAGTTACTACAGTGAATAAGTAAATGAAATACAGTCATCTGCTTTATGTAAAAAGGTCTTCAGTGCTCCTCCCTGATCGACGGCACCATCTCTATACAGATGGTCAGATCAAATACTTTGAATGAAGCACTAAAGACATTGACTTCTCTGAGGTGGCAACCTATAAGAAATAACCTCGCAGAGCTATGAAGTAAATGTAAACAAGCTCAAGATACACTCTACTCCTTAGATCTCATATACATTGCATCTATCTGCACATACCATTTTGATTAGTTAAAAATCACTGATGAAGGCTGACTGGTCGACATACTGTTATAAAGTCAGATGGAAACACTCCTTTCTTCTAGCTTCATTAAGGTCAGGATAGAGGAAGCAGTAGTGGAAGTTTAAAATAAAAAAAGCTGGAAAAGATAGGCTCGAGATTCTCGGTATCAGAAACAAGCATTTATTCACTTAGGGCCATGACCTTAGATATCCTAGATCAGAAGGGAATACTTGCAGATGTTAAAAGCTGAGCTTGCTACGTGAGGCAGAAGACGGTATCAGACATTGAATGTGTCTCCCACAGAGGAGCAAATGGCTTCTGCCCAGGGTTTTGTCCTTGACAGGACCATTTGACCTCTTCTAGCTGATTGACCTCACCCAGCTGACTGCAGCGTTTTTTACTGTTCTGTGTTTAGGTTGAAAAAGAGCAAGGCTGAAGCTCTTCTTACAGTCTAGTGCAGGTTGAATGTTTTTTCTCTCATCTAATGTGCTGGCTTCCTTTTGTTGCTGTTGTGGACCAGGTGTGAAAAGGAGTAGGTTTGGACGAAAAATTAGAAATAGTTTTCTTTCTAAAGATGCTGTATCTTTGTGGAAAAGGAAAAAAAATAAGCTACATCTTTTGAGGATAAGTAGAAGGATTGAAGTAAATCCTGCAGATCTCCAGTAAGTCTGCGGGAACAAAGTTATTCTAGGGCCTACAGAAGTCAGCCCAGTTTTTCTTCTTTGCTTCCAGACTAACAGATGCTATGAGACTGACTGAGACAGTAGATCCACCCCTTGCTGGTCAAAGGGTGTCATCAGATAAACTGAAAATGGATGTGGAAAGGGCAGTTTGTTCAGAGAACAGTCTGTAAAATTGACAGTCACCATAAAATGTGCCAGAAAAGCCTAGTGAGCATAGCTTCAAACAAGCACTTTACCATCAGTCAGTCGATATGGGCAGGTAATTCCCAGTAAATATATTCAGCTGGAAGGATTCCACAGGAATACTGTTGAATATGTCAGGGGAAAAAAATCCCAACAAAAACCTGCAAGCACTTGCTCTATTTTTGAATTTCATCATGCATCCATACTTTCACCATTTCCTCAAGAAGAGGAAAAAAACAGCGCTTTGATACCAGCAGTTCTTACTTCTGGTTCTACTTCTACTTAAGATTTTCTTGCTTAAGTTGGAATATGTTTCACTTTGGAGCACAGATGTATTTTAACGGTTGCTTAGCTATTGGGCATTTGATGAAAACTGACTTGGTACAATTAATTCTCTGCAAAGGCACAATTATACTATTTAGGAAGGAAAAAAAATATGGTCAAACTCAGGCCTGGTGAGTGGTCATTGCTTGAGCTCATACACAGTGTTATAAGAGGGGAAGGAAAAACGGAGCCTCTACTGCAAAGTGGATTTCTATCTAATTGTTCCAGAGTTAGTTTCCTCCTGAGGTAGAGCTGGCTGTGTGGTACTTCTGCTGAGCCTGGTGGCAGAAGAGAAATCTGAACCTTTGAAAGTGACTTTTTGCTTTGAATTACAAGGGGCATCTGATTTTCCTTACATTGTCAACTGCTGCTTTTTCCAGCGGTTCACCAAAAAACTGACAGCCAGTAAGCTTCAAAGCAGAGAGGATCTGCTTAGCATCATTATCTTCTATCCAAACACAATGCCAAATATGACATCTGGCAACCGGGTTGGATGCTAGGGCTATTCCACATCACATCCATAGAGACGTCTGCCAAGAATGCCGTAGGCCAGAGACATTTTTCTCTGTGGAAAATAGTTTCTTTTAGAGAGATCAGAGATTTTAAGATGATCATGCCAAGCCACCAAAGCTCTGGAAAAGCACGTAGTAGATAATACTGCCTGCAAATCAGATGTTGCTGCCTCAGATTCTGGTTTTGAAGCTTCTTCCACTTTTTTTCCAGCTGATCTAGTCATCAGAAATGAAACTCACTTCAGAGAAGACAATCAGCTTCTTAGCTAGGGACATTTTCTTTGTATACTTGAATGGATACATCGCTACTCTGGGTACCACAGTACCCACTTCTCATTAAGTTACACTGTTGACCAGTCGGTACTGTCTGTGTGAAGTTTAGTGCCACTAACCATGCCAAAACTCAGGGAACATTGAAGAATATTAAGAAAATCTGTGAAAACTTCTGGTCTGTCTTCCTTCCACAACCTAGCTCCCCAGGTTTAGCCTGTGACTGTTGGAAGAAATATATGAAATCTTCTTTGAAAAGTGTACTTCACTAAAGGCAAAGAGGTCTCTATTGTTTTAGGAGGAAGACTAATGGAGAACTCAGTAATTACAACATCAGCCCATGCCTCAGATGATTTGCAATTAGGGTTCAGACTGGGACACAGCACAGATATTGAGCTAATCTAAAAAATGCCTCCTTCATGAGCATGGACAGTGTTAAGACCTGTTGTATCTTTGCCTTGTTTGACATAGAAAAACACCAGCATGCCCCTGTGACACAGGAACGCGTGACCTGAGCTGTACAGCAGCTCTGCTCGTTGGTGTCCAGCAAAACTCGGAACGCTTGAGTAATTGCTCCTTTTCTCTGAAGGCCCCCTTTTATGAAGAATTAGGAAGCACACTGAAACCTCATGGGCTACATGTCAACATTCAAGTGCTGGCATATTGTCTTCTCAAAACATACAGTAACTCTCAGGAGTACACTCTTCTGAGGTTAGTGTAGGTCAGAAAAGCCAAGAAAAATTATGCAAGATAAAGCCATGCATGAAGAGAGCTTCAGCTGTGTCCTAAAGAGGTGGATTTTCACAGAAAGCAAAACTCTGCCAACAAGGACTGCACACCTTTTGCAGGAAGATCAATGCTGAGTACCAGCCTTTCTTTGCTTTAACCTGGTTCCAAGATGCCTTTCTTTCACTTTTATTGAAACAGACAGGGGCAATGAGAGAACTAGGAGCAGCTCTACCTCCTAACTTCTTGGTACAGAAAGGTGTGTTTGTGAATGAAGTCAGCTTTCCCTATTGAGCACCGTCTGATCTTTGAATGAAGGTGAAGAGGAAATGCTCCTTGCTGCAACACCACATTTGACAGAGGAAAGATCACTCTTGTATACTGCAACTATGAGCAGACTTGATATGTTTTAAACAAAGACCAATATCTGCTAAAGTAGCCTTCCTGTTCCCACTTGGATTGTTAGATGCTGAAGTCTGTGCAGGCTGCTAGGTGATGAGGCTCTTATCTCCCAGTTTTCCCTCCACTTGCCCAAGCTGCACCCTGCGCAATAGTGGGAAAGCAGAGCTACTTGGCAAGAATTAACAGAGACGTGGTGCCTGAAGGACTGAGTTCGCTGTTGCAGTGGCAGGCTGCTATGAATGGAGGCAGTGTAAGTAAGTATAAAGAGCCTTCTAGAAAGCTGCTATCACCCTGGTAAGGTACACAACCTTAGATGTGCAGTGTATCTGCCCCACTTGGCACAGCTGAGTTGCTCTGGCAGAAGAG